AGGGGGGGGGGGGGGGGGGGGGGGGGGGGGAATGGGAAGGGAAAAGAGGGAAGGGGCAGAGGTGAGATCTGTCAAACAATTCATCGAAATTTCATTCCTTTAAATCAAATATCTATGATGCAGTACTGTTTTTGGTTGATTGAGTGGAACCCAAATTGCTTCAACGCACAAAGGATTGCCGGTGCGATTTTGAGTTTTTGACCTAAACTTGTAGTTCGCTAGCGGCAGGAATGGTTCTTGTGCTGTAGTTAAAAACTTAGATTCTTATCGGTGGGAAAGGGAATCGGCTGGGATGAGTGTGTTGCAATATGTGACCGCATGGACTTCAGGATGCTTGTCTATCAATTTTTTGCATGAAGCTCAATCCTTTCCCGGTGAACGCTCGTTCATTGAAAAAATGCAAATCTGAAAGAAGTCGAAAAAGGTTTATGAAATCTGCAAAATGCAGTTGTTTTTGAGTTTGCGATAAAACTGAATATTTGTCATATCTGCGTGCAAGGAATTTCGTCTTCAAGTTGACCTAAAGCCATAGTCAAACATAGAATACTCTTGCAAAGTTTCAGTCTCATAGATTGTCTGGTAAACAATGCCAATTCGCTACAAATATGTTTGAAGTGCCCTAAGTCATGACGCAAGTATAAATCGAAACTCAGTTTAGGCATTTGATATCTCTGATAGACGATAATATAGCGGCAAAATTTCAGCTACTTTTTTCAAACTAGTTTCCAAATTGGCACAGCGCCAAACTCGAACTCTGACGTGGTCTTATGTGCAGCACAAGAAAATGTGGTAGCTGATTTTGAAATCTTTAGCTCATACAAAAGCGGAGAATATCTCTGCAAAGTTTCAGCTTTGTACCTTGCCTGGTTCGAGAAGTCGTTTCCCGCCAAAGAAACTTGCATATTTTTTCGGGGCTCCATACGCGGGGTCTAGACGCGTATGAGCAAAAATTTTAAAAAGGAAAGGAGACACATGAGGTAGGAATATGAGCCTTTCCTAGTTGCTCAGTTGAAAGTGGATGACAAAGTCCATTCGCTTTCGAATACACACAAACAGACATGGAGAACCTCTCGACAGTGTGCGATTTTATGCGTTTTGCATATATGCAAATTGCAGAAACGCATTTTGGAAGAGGCTGTCTGTGTGTGTGCGTGTGTGTGTGTCTGTGTGTCCGCACTTTTTGTCACCTACTTTCGACTCGAGAACCAGAAAAGCTAGAAGGCTGAAAACTATGGGAATATGTGCTCATACTATGCGCGACCCTTCCGTTTTAATATTACTCCCCGCGAACGCCTGGGTGCCGCGTGCAGGTGCCTTAAAAAAATGTGCAAATTTTTTTGGTAGGAAAGCGATCTCGGAAACCATATAAGGTAAGGAGCTGAAACTTTTGTAGGGATATTTCTTGTGCATGTGTTAGTTAAAGATTTTAAATTCAGCCCCCAGTTATGCATGGAATTCACATAAGGGTGTATGAAAGTTTTAGCGGGAAAATTGTTAACTCGAGAACCAGGAAAGCTAGAAAGCTGAAATTATGGGGGGATATCCCTTGTCCAAGTAAAAATTAAATATTTCAAATCCAATCTTGAAGTATTCAGTTCGTAAACTGCATGAATGTTTCTTGCTTTATACTTACCTTCTGCGCTCACTAGCGTAAATCGTCGTAAATTTTGCACCTAGGCTGGAGCGCACCAGGCTTGTCGATGTGACCATGCTTTTTTGCACTAAACTCGCGAGTCGTTGATAGCAAGAATCTCTGCTCAGATAAGTGCGTACGGGCGCGTGAAAGATTTGGCGGGAGAATTGTTAATTCGGCAACTATAAAAGTTGGAAGGGTGAAATTTTGGGGGAATGTTTCTTGTACAAGTACAGGTAACATTCCCGCGTCGCATGCTGTTCCCACAACGCTTCTTCTGTTGGAGCCAAGTCGGGGTTTCTTGCTATTATTTCGCCTCACTGCTGTTCGTACGATGACAGCTTTTCTACAGTGAACTGTATGCGAAATTGCGCGCGTTCGAGTAACTGTAGGTGTTCCTCATAGAGCATTAGCTGCTGTTCTGGGCTTATCTGGTCCGATCGTTGAGGTACTAATGTTGGCGGCACTTCCGCTAAGTAGCGCATTAGACGCGCTTTCACTGGGGCTGCTGCGCGCCGCAGACCCCCACTCATCTCTGTATGGTTTTGTTTCGAATAAGCACAAAATAACAAGATCAAAAACCAACCGATTTCGTTCCTTCAGCCCCCATGTACTCGAAATAGCTTGTGATAAAATTATCGAGTATAGATTTATGTCTGAGTAGAACACTTCAAA